CATGCCGGGACAGGCTGTAAAAGTGTTTGGATTAGACACTGGTGGTTATAGTGACAAAACTGTATAACATCTTATTAGAGTTAGTAGTTTTTACCACGTATCAGTACTTTCTACTATCTTAATAATGAATATAATTATAAATGATAGTTTACTCAGTCCTGTTTTACTTGAATAATTAATTCACGTATTAATACCTTAATATTATTCTATACATATAACAATGCTTTAGTTGTGACTCTTCTAAAGTTTCTAATTAATGATAAATCTATCAGATAACAGAAAGTTTACATTTCTCTATAAAAAAAAAAAAAAAAGGTAAAAGTCTGCGTTAAGCCTAATTTTGGGTTAACTAGGTTTAAATGCTTAATTTTCAGTTTACGTATCTTTTATTACCAAAGTAAAATGATAGCACACTTAACGCGTTTTCTGTTATTCTGAAAGAATTATGTTGTAGTAGATAACCAAATATAAAAAAAAAAACTCAAAATGAACCAATGAAATGTCGTGAATATGCTAGAAAAAATATTTTTCACTTCAGAACTTCAATGAAATGATCAGAAATAGGAAAATATCCTAATATTTGAAAGCAACGGTAAAAGTTCAATATAGGTTAATATTTCTACATGTGTTCCGGCTGAGAAGCGGTAAGTTTATGGATTCCTAACGCCATAATCTGTCGTTCGATTTCCCACGGTGGACAGATCGCAGGTAGCTCGTTGTGTAGCTTTGCGCTAAAAAAACAAACAAAAACAACAACAACCATGTATTTTGCGACTGAGTGGAAAACGCCTTCACTGCTAATCGCCTGAAATTAAAATGCTTAATATGAGAATAGACTTCCGAAAACAGTTACGACATCAAGGTTTATGATGTACACACACGTTTCTGATAAACAAAAGAAAATTTTAAATACTTTACTGTTTTTTTGTTTTGAATTTCGCGCAAAGCTACACGAGGGCTATCTGTGCTAGCCGTCCCCAATTTAGCAGTGTAAGACTATAGAGAAGGCAGCCAGTCATCACCACCCACCGCCAACTCTTTGGCTAAGCTTTTAGAAATGATTCGTGGGATTGACCGTCACATAATAACGCCCCATGGCTGAAAGGACGAGCATGTTTGGTGTGACGGGAATTCGAATCCGCGAGCCTCAGCTTCCGAGTCAAGTACCCTAAAAACCTGGCTTTTTTCACTGTTCTCTTGAAATGATGTAGTTAAAATAGGATTTTATCAAAACACCATTATCGGTCTTCAAACTTATATAGTGTTGTGTTCAAGTCGCATGCATTCATTTAAAAAGCACTGTTTCTTGAATACTATAAATATTTATACATACTTTTTTCTTCTTTTTTCATAAAAGCGACAACCTCCCTACCATTTATATTAAGAATCCAGTACAGACTACATAGGCCAATAGAACATCGGGAAAAGTCCAGGTGGGCCTGCGTTTCATCGAGCACCGTATTTCCAGTATGTTTGTTTGTTGAATTTCGCGCAAAGCCAGTAGAGAGCTATCTGCGCTAGCCGTCCCTAATTTTGAAGTGTTAGACTAGAGTGAAAATAGCTAGTCAACACCAACAACTCTTGGAAGGACTGGCCGTCAGATTGGGGATCGAATGATCTAACTACTAGACCATGCCAGGCCGAATTTCCTGTTAACGGTTTATATCGTGGCATAGATGTAGCATGGATGAGTGATAAACAGGTAATTACATCTCTCTCGTTTAATTTTATGGTCATGTAAGTCTTCACTTTACTAATGAATGTAATAAACTTTGGACTGTATAAAAATAATTTTCTCGGGCCGTTTTTAATCTTTAATCCGCTCCCTGGTATGAAGCGTATTAGTGGGTATTCGTAGCAAAACCAAAACCACAAAAAAATAGAATTCCTAACAGTATTGGTCTGTCGTAATATAGCTTTACAGGTCTTCCCTTGTGTGAATAGATGTAAAGCAAAACAAAAACAGACTAGACTGTACTTTGTAATTTGTGTGAATAACACTATTATATACTTATATACTACATTCATTATTATGCTCCCACTGCGTGTGGCTCAGCGGCAAATCTGAGAGCGTATAACACTAAAATTGGGTTTCGATACACGCAATGGACACATTACAGCTAGCCAATTGTTTAGCTTTGTGCTTGATAATAAACAAACAAAACACAATATTGTTTTTCACTTGAATTGCAAATTCTTAAGCAGGTTTTTGTTATTGGATTTTGATCGTGATATATATATTTTTTTAATGCAGACTGATTTGTTGACAGGCCCGTGTCTCTTACCCTATTCATTCCACAAATTGCCATTTACTGGGAGAAGCTAAAAAAGGGCTTCATTAGGCAGAATGGAATGCCTATTGGATGCATGCCGAATCCTGCGGGACACTGGTCCATATGAAAAACGTGAATCGATCGAGTGGTATCTCAGCTTGGAAAGCTTGTCTCATCCCTCGCATCCTCATCCCGCTCTTCTTTACCGAGATACTCAACAGACAGAAGCTTCGTATTTATGCACCCCATCAACCCATTCTTCTACCTCGGAATGGTTCATCACATAAAAGCCAAGGGATGTAAGGCGAGGAAAGTCATTATTATTGATGAGAGAAAATTCCAATGTAGATGATTCTACATGCTTTACTGTGCAAGCACTGCAGAACCGCATACATTCTTTAACCCTAAAATGTTTGATGAGATAAGCCTAGACTGTAATTCGTTACGTATCAACTCGGTTCAATAGATCTTCTTGTGGTAGAACGTACATATAGGGAATACCTGTGAACATTGTTTTCGTTGAAAATAATTACCCGAAACAGTTTCAAAATATTATTGTCTATTAGTTAAAAAACACGCTGAATGTACCGAATACAATTTTTTAACGTACGGACTTGATTAACTCCAGTGACTTTAGTTGAGGTATTTAAGTTATTTTGATAATTTGGTTCTTTTGTATGAGTAGTTCTAAAACTTATTTTCTAGTTATCACTTTAGCGAACTATGCGGAAATGAACATTTCTAGACATGTTTTTAACTGCCACATTTGGTGTTTCACTTATTGCGTTAAAAAAAAGCATAAATCACCAAATAAACAATGATCACAACATTTAACGACTAAAATTTTCTAACTTTCCGATGCTTAATAAGAACCTTAAATGAATAATTCCGAAAGAAAACTAAAATAAATAAGTGAATGCTTTAAGAAGTTGCGAACTGTGTCTATAACACGTGATTGAAGATAACTCTTACGTAATTGTTTAAAGTAAATAAATGCGAAGTCAAGCGATTATTACTGTTTTTTTTGTATTGATTATAAACTTCTCCTTCTATCAACAACTAATTATTTCCACCATATTTTAAGCATTTAAATCCTTCGTGCATTCCAAAGGAAACTTTAACAAGGGTTTTAAACCCTTTGCTAATCAGGTTGGCCAGAACATCGAGATTAAGTCTGTCGTTAGAAACCAAAGCACTTTCCAATCACATTATTCTTTAACAGTTATAATGTCATATATGTTTTAATCTTCACTGAAATGTTGGATCCATTGCCTATACCAAAGTATGTTAATAGCATTAATAAATAGAAATAATAGTGATTACATATTTGTACTGCAAAGTAGCCCCCCAGTGGCACAGCGGTATGTCTGCGGACTTACAACGCTAGAAACCGGGTTTCGATACCCGTGGTGGGCAGAGCACAGATAGCCCATTGTGTAGCTTTGTGCTTAACTACAAACAAGCAAGAAAAACTAGTGCAAAGTAAGCCTATCTTTGAAACAACGGCCCTAGGACAAAAGGAAATAACTGCTGTATCAAGCATTAAAAGTCTTAAAGCAGTAAAGTTTGAACTTGTATTTGTTAGATTTCTATGAAGTCAAACTGTATATTCATACTTAGTGAGTTTTTGAATCAAAATATAGCAAATTCGTCTTCTCTGCAGTCTTGCGCAATTCACTAAAAATTCTGTTTTACCGCTACTGCTTGTGTGATTTTTTTTTCCTCTTAGAATCGTTTAGTTTCTTTACTTTATAGGCTTACACAAAGCAAGCCTATTTCAATAGCACTGAACAACAGAAAAGAGCTCACTCTGACGGCAAAAAAGAGAAACATGTGCTTCTACGTATTGTGCGCATGTATATAAAAGAAGAATAAGGTTAAAAGCGGAGTGTAATGTGAAAAGAAAGTTTAAAACCATTGTAATATGGCTCTTTTCTCATCTAAATTAATAATACTCTCTCAAGAAGTGTATCACGTACAGGAAACTAGGTAATGTTAAATTTCGTCCCCCTAGTTTCTTATATGTGTAGTTGGATTATGTCTCTAAGTACATATCCCTCTCTTACATGTAAGCAGTTTCTGTGTCATAGGAAACGTAATTTACTAATGGTTGCGACCATGTTGTCATGGCAACATGACAGGTGTTGTGTTATACACGTTTCTACTCTCCGTTTCACTGATATGCTGGTTGAGCGATTGCCTCAATATGGTTGCACCTTGTCAACGGTTTGGAGTTTTCTTTCATGGATATTGTAGCATTTTTAATGAGAACAATGACAGTAGTGAGTAATACAAATGAGAGAGGAAGCTAGTTAAGTGGCAAAAAATTTGAAACAATTAGTAACTTTTAACGTGTTCAGGAGCTTCTTTGAATTGGCCACGGCTTACGTAACCGTTCATTTACACTGTTAAGTTTCTTTTAGCTGTTCAGATTTCCCAGTGTTCCTGACCACGTGTTGAGGAGCTAATACGGAATTGATACACATCAAACAATGTGAAGAGCGTAGTAGGATGGCAATTATAAAGTGAGGGACAAAGTGATGTCGGTATCCATACTTACAAGAATCCAAGTCGGCAACATAAATGCATATAACTCATTTAGTATACACCTTCAAACACTACTGGAATAACATGCATCAAAGAAGAGATCAAAATACATGTAGAAATTCCACTACACGCCGAAGTGAAGAGGACTTCCCGTAATCCGTTTTGAAGTTACATACATACATGAATTATACACCCATCGAACAGTTTTACCGATTAATTCCCTTCTAAATATCACGATTCATTCGTGCGGAAAAGGTTTCAATCCATGTCAGATTGTCTCGGCAGTTCCACGTGTCTGAAGAAAAAAACAAAACAAGGATCACTTTATACCTTCACTTATCTGAAATGTATATGACTTCCTGTGATCCTATAAATATACTCAAGCAGTAAATGAAACAGAAACTTACCTTATTTGGTGTCTACCTTATGTGGCTTGGCGTAAAAATTATAAAACAAACAGTCAAAATGCACAGGCCCCCAACAACTAGAAACTTCGCAGTAAGTGTTCGTAGTAAGTAGACCAGACACCAAGTTTCACAAAGACAAAAACATTTTATCTGTTCACACAGAACAGTTCAGACATATGGTTCATTTGACACTTTGTGCAAGGGGGGGGGGGTCACAAAACACGCTAATGTTGCACTCCTAGTTGAGCCAATTTAAAGTACGACCTGGCTAGTTTTCTCAGAGGACACGTCAACGATTACCACATTAGTCTCCAACACTTTTTTACATCTTCACATGACTGATGAGGCCTGAAACCCAGTAGAAGGAGCATAAAGAATTTTTCCAACACCATCAGCTTCGAAAATACTCAGAATTACCAAATGGGAATGATCTCAGACAGTGAATGACCGGAACAAAAATGAGGTCAACTCAGCTCAGGACTGATCATTTGCGAGCTATACATGAACATGTGTACCAACATGCTTGAGTAGGAAAATATTTGTAAACAAGTAAACGTCCATCGTTCTAAGCTAATAAATAAATAAACACCTGGTAATTTTGAAATACTACATTTCTATTTCACTTTATCTAAATGCCATCCTGGTCATCTCCACCCTTAAGTTTAAATCCAAAGAAATAAGTAAAAATTAAGTAAGTTACAACTTGCGAGCTTGCTATATATATATGCATATATAATATCTTACTCATTTGCCAAACGAAAACTCTTCACAGTACATCATTTGGATAGAACTGACATGCAATGAACTTCTAAATACAGAACATATAAAAATTTTAGCATGGAAGTGTGCACTTATTTAAAAACGAACCAGCAAATCACTCACATTTTACATCTTTTCTACCCTTTAAGGTATAAATACTTTTAAATCATACATAAAAATATCAGAAATGCCATTTTTCTTTGTACATTTTATGAAAGAAAAGCTTTTAAGCTGTAAGGAAAACATATTTGAAAAAAGCTATTTTGCTTTAATTTCACGAAATAAATTTTTTGAAACTGTACACAAAACATTAGAAAAATACCCTTTTTGTTTTACATTCTACACATTTAACATCATGATGGACACTATTAGTTTCACTATGACCTGTAATAAAGCAAAGGTTGGTCGCGGACTCGTCCACAACTTCTGACCTTACTTTATCTCTGAGCGATGATTCTCCAGGACTGCTATGGATCTTTTGCCTGTTGATGTAATTTTTGTTTTTTTGATTACCTATTCATCTTCTCAAGGTAATTCTTGGTCCTGAAGAGTTCTGTCTTCACTAAACCGATGCAATTCTTGAGTCATTTCAGTATGTTCATTCCAACCCTTACACGTATTTTGTCTTCCTATTTCTAGCACATTGTCTAGGCTTTTATTCGTGTATCAGCTTGGACATGGCAATGGTGCTTGAGCCACGTGGTCTTCTGGAGGCTACAGTGGGCTGGGACAAATACAGAAACAATGGTGGTGAGTTTTTGGTGGCAATATTATCTAAAATAGGTTGATGTCTCAGTTTGCAGTATTGGAACATATGATGATGATGAGGCGTAGTATTAGTTGTTTCAGCACAGAGGAGTTGTTATGACCAGTTCCAGGGTTTTTTTTCTTAGGTTTGTCTCTGTTTAAGGCCCAGGAATGTCTTCTTTGTTTTAAGTATGTTATGATCATGCCCCCTATATTCAGAGCACTCTGCAACAAGACACTTTACCAAGTGTCACAATTATTTCTTCTTTAGCTCCATCTGGACAGGAACCGCATTTAGTAAAAGAGGTGGCACTGGTTGGATAGCTGAGAGAGAAGGTGGGAAGTGTGGATGGTGCCCCTATAGTGGTCTAGTGACTGCATGGTGATGGTAATTTACATATCAAGAGGTCCTTCTCCGTCAAGTTCCTTCAGCTTCTCCCCAATGGTTAGGTCCAGAATTTCTCCCAGTCTTAGAAATCTCTAGGATATCTTAAAATTCACTGAATAAGAAGAACAATTGTTCTTTCACGATGTATAAAATTTAGCAAGTTAAGTTTAAAGACAAATAAGAATTTGGTCTTATGTTAAAAAAAAAAAAAAGTCAATTTCTGATACGTTAGAAGTTCGATCAGTGACTAACATTGAAAATTATGCCTGGAAAGTTACAGCAAAATTTCTTCTTTTTAGGCAGGATTTTAAATCAGTACCAGTAAGCATAGAGATAGCTTAAATTATGACTGAGAAAATATAGCAAAAACACTGGAGAACATTCTGATCCAACATATTTTACATGTAACCAGCAAAAACACTGGAGAACATTCTGATCCAACATATTTTACATGTAACCAACTTTCAATTGCTATGGTCTATACTGGTCATTATGTAACAATAAAAACTCTCACAAACTAACATGGTTACTACTCACATACATGTGTGTTGTTAATAAGTAGCATGGTTCTAATGGAGAAAGAGGTAAAACTGTTAGTGCAGTGTCCCTACATCGGTAAGTTAATTCTGGTTGGCATCCTTATAAACACAAGCTGCTGTATCCTGACATGATGCCCATTAACATAATTATTGTACTATAATTGCGCTTATTTTCTGATGCAAACTTAGTGTATGCAACTTGATGAAACTACAAGCAGCGAAAATCACAGCTAACACTAAAGTATTTTTAAATTGCAACTTGCAGAAAAACTAGATATTGAGAAAATATTCATTAAAACCTATATTTATTTCATATAATTGAACATATTACAACAAATCCAATGTAAACATGAGGTGCATCATGCTTTTCCATTTGTATGGAAAATAAGCTAAAATCAGCAGTTTATTTCCTCTGAATGATTTTACTGGCTCAAAGATATTCCAGTTTTGCAAAATTGAATATATTTTTCACTATCACAAATGAAAACATCACATACTTTATTTTTTCTTTTGACAAAGTGAAACCCAATAAGTTGTATTCCTTTTATCAGTGAAAAATCCACAAATCTATGAATATTTCAATTTTAAAATAAGACATATTTGTCCATCAGCATCAATCAAAATATGAGATAACATTCTAAGTTCCCTTGATATGGAACAGGCTTATAATGACATTTCTACTTCACATATCATTCTAACCAAAATTATTTTTATTACCTGAGAATTGTGTTTTCTCTACATATGTGACATTATAGTACATGCAACACCACACATACCATTTCTACTTCATATATCATTCTAACCAAAATAATTTTTATTACCCGAGAATTGTGTTTTCTCTACATATGTGACATTATAGTACATGCAACACCACACATACCATTTCTACTTCATATATCATTCTAACCAAAATAATTTTTATTACCTGAGAATTGTGTTTTCTCTACATATGTGACATTACAGTACATGCAACACCACACATACCATTTTTGTAAAGCAAAATATATATGTTAACAGTGGATATGAAATAATTGTATAAAACTAAAATAAAAGACTGCCTGTTCAGCAATGTATGAATACTATAGCAACTTAGGTCACCACTCCCTCTGGCTATGTCCGTGTAACTGGGTTAGCTATTACTATACTGCCATCTATGAGCCACTAAGTTCATTCAGTTCTTTCTTAACATCATGAAATATATATATATCATAAGGAGATTTCAGTCAAACTAAGAATTCCCAGCTAGCATTTACACATCCTGGATCCAGGGCCGATATTTTTGTTGTCCACTGTGAGACATAAAACAGACACAGACTAAGCAGAAAACCAATGATAAAATCATTACTGTCATAGACACCTACTAACACCCACAGCTCAGCTATCACTACTATATTGCTACCTTAAAATCTATATAATCGGCATGATAGGTAAAATAAGCAGAGGCAAAATTTAGTGAAATGCGAGCTTTTCCAGTACAATTTATGACAACCTCAGTTATCTCCTACCCTGTATAAAAGTACAACCCTTCTGGAAAGTCACGCTGAAAGATATGTTCTTGGTTGTAAGCGAGACAAAATCACACTTGCAGACATATACACGAGTTCTTATGTGCTTTTTCATACAAACGTTTTGCTAATAATCACCATAAAAAAGCCATCTGAGAATTCAGAAAGCAAGGATCACAAAATTATTTTAGCTTACAACTACAATAAAGACCCTTCAACTGTTCATTTTTAGTCATTACATCTGCTGCTCTAGCTGTAGCATGATCAAATAGCTGTCGTGTAAGTAACCTTCCATGAACCACTATCTGATCCATGAAAACAAGGAATATCACTTTCAATCAAGTGGCTGTCCTGACAGATGGTTAAGCAGCTAATTCCAGACATAAAAATCAAAGGGGCGATGTAAGCATCACAGCCAACCAACAGAGCAGTCAGTCCACTCATTCACTGACACTTTCTCATCTGACTTTTCAAAGAGGGGCAGATATGTACTGTCAGCATCTTTCTATTTGTCAGATGAGGTGAGATCATAACATACAGTGCTTTCTATGTCCTTTGGCCCATAAGTATTCTAAACCTCTACTTCTTGGTTTAACCGATGCACAAAAATATCAATTAGGGACATATAAATTCAACTTACCCATATATTCAATATGTTTTCACACGCCAAATAATCACTGTAGTTCATATTTTGATGGCCTGAGCTTTCTGTAAGTACCATAAAAATTAGTCCAACCAGAAACAAGTTGATTCTGCACCAATACCCAGTCCTCAAATTAAAACATTTAATTGTTCACTGTTTTTAGTGGCATTCTGTCATATGGCAGCTTTACCCAAATGCTGATAAAAACATTCATGAGCATCAACTAATACATTAGCAAATCCACTTTGGACACTTTACAACGTTTTCACTGGGAGATGGGCCATACATCACACAAACTTGGGCTGTA